TTCCAAAACAAATTTTCTAGGCGAGCGTGTACTTTACCGCGCTCGACCTAAATGAAACGTGAAATTGTCAATGATTTAATGATTGCTACATTAGTTGCGCATGAGTCTTTGGGCTGAACTGGGCCCTGCCCTTCGTTACCGATTGACTCGAGCCAGAAGCGGACTCGGTCGGGCGATATGGTGACCCTGGGTGAATTTGGTATACTCGAGTATTACCTTGTAGTCTGGTGGAGCCTGGCCAATTTCCGGGAGGGGGTGAACGAAACGAAAGAACGAACGAGGGTTTTATTTACCAAAAATGCATTTTATTTAAATGACCGGAGGAATAAGGGGAATGACAGGAGAACGAACGAACGAACGAACGAATATATGGCTCCCTGTGAGCCCGTATCCTTTTAATGAACGTGTTTATCGCTTTATTTTGTATTTGTATCTTGAATTATTGGTTATATGTAATGAATGCATTGAACTTCTTGTTGCCTATGTGTTCGGAACCTCACTATGCTTTTAGCTCATTCCTTTAGTTTTGTTTTCCTTAACAGGGGACGGCGAGCAAGGACGAGAGCTCGGTAGAGTCTAGCCTAGACTGGTTTCTTTGGTTTTGTAATGGTTCTCGACCTAGTGCTCGGCACGGGCTGGATGTATGGTGAATTGAGAACCTTTGTATATTCGATGTTTGTACTCCCTTTTTAGATAGCAATGTATATAAGTTTTGCTTCAAGTTTTGGATCGTTGTTATGTTTAGTCTTGTGGGTTTATTCTGGTTTCGATTGAGGACTGAAGTGAACGACTGAGTCCCTGCGAAAGCTGGGCAGGCGGTCCGCCGAACCCTCTGGTTCGCCTTAGGGGGAAGTGGGGCTGTCACAGTTGTGATACCCCGAAAATTAGGAGGTTGTTTGTAAAGAAAATACTAAAGTGTATTTCTTTGGGTTTGATTTAAAACCTTATTTTGTTTTAAAAGACTAGAAACCCTAAAAATTTTAATCAAAAACCCTAATTTACTTGTGACTAACCAGTTTTCTTAAATCACTCATATTTTAATTGAAACCCTAAATTTAATCACTGGAATTGTAAAATTCCTTACGTTTTTCTTAAAAATGCCTTTCATTTGGAAATTATTCATTTATTATGGCCCTAATACCCAATCATTCCTCAATAGGTGCAAATGAACCTAGGAAGTAGGGTTTCACTTTTCATTTCCAAGTTAAGAGCGACTTAGGGTTTCACGTTTTCCCGTAGTATGATTATTCGGTACGGAGTGAGGATCAAATTTGATAGGTAAAAGTGACTTTTGGATGAGGGAATACTATATGACTAGAAGTGATAATAATAATTTAGTGATTATAAGCTAAAAATCCTAATATACGCGATTTAAGAGAAATCGTGTCAAACCGACGGGTATCGATCACTACCGATTGAACCCACCACTTGACCACCACTTTCTTACCACCACATACCCTTGATATTTTTGCAAAATATCCCCCCTCATACTCATCCATATGGCCAAAATTTGTGGCCAAAAATGCAAGGGAGAAAAAGAGAAATTTGCATGGCTTTGGTGGTGACACTTGTCACCACCCTATGGCTCTTTGAATAATTTGTTTTTCTTGTTCTTTTATCCTTCATTTCAGCTTATTTTCCTTCATTCTTTCTGTCTTTTGGCCGGGCAAGGGAGAGAGAGAGAGAGAGCAAGAGAGAAAAACCTTCAATCCATCTTGAATCCAACCATTTGAGTGCAACCAAGGAAAACTAAACCGATTAACTTGTGAGTTGTGAACTTGGGAAGCTAAGGGAACCAAAACTTTCAAGAGGAGGTGAAGTATTACTCTTGCAAGCCCTTTTGTTGAGGTATAAGGTCTGACCCATGGCTTTGGTTCTTTTATTTTTGTTTAAGTTGTTATATAACTCATGTTTTGGTTAGATTAGTAGCTATACAAGTTGTTGTGATGATTTTGGGGTGATGTATGTAAGCTAGGGTTTGACTGATTTCCTTCTTATACTTGTTGTAGGAGTGGTATATGATGTATATAGGCTTGTATAAGAGGTTGTGGTAGTGATTGAATCAAGAAAATGAAGAGATTGCCCTTGAAATCCCAAAATTTCAGATTTCTGGAATTGTATGCTTCAGTTCTGTCCGGTTTCAGTGCCCTATGTTAGAGGGAAAATTAGGCTTGGAACAAAACATGAAAGTTGTAGATAATAATATTTTATAGGGGCCTACAAAATTTCAGCTCAATCGGAGCAACGTAGCCTGTGAAAAGACCGAAATACCCCTGCTGCCCTGTTTCTGTCCGAAAATGAAAATCAGCCTCGGTAAGTGGTTAGTTTGACCAGGAATATTACCGAATTGGTTGATGATATCTTCTTAAGATTTATAGCCTTGTATCTTATCTTTCAAATGGCTTTGGAATTACCTGAATTGGAATTGTGTGTGCTGAGATATGAGTGAATAAAGCAGGACTGCTAGTTGATTTCTGCAGTGAATTTCGAACTGGAAAATCTGGAGTTGTTTTGGTAAATTTAACCTAGTTAGGGTGAGAACTGGACTGAGTGGTCTTCATGAAAGTTGTATCCCTCTGTCTTAGCTTCGAAATGGTATAAATTACATCCCAATCTGATAAGCATAGCTTCGGATGTGTCCGTTACGCAAAACCCGTCAAATCTGTCTTTTGTTAAACTTCATTTCCGCACATGTTGTTAGCTTGATTTTTGTACTTATATGACTTTAAGCCTATGGAATGGCTATTGAAATAAGATGATATTGTGTGTGACTTTGGGATTGATTGAGGAAAACAATGAAGCCATAAATGGCTGAAAAAATAGGTAAATACAAAGGACGTGCTGCCCAAATTTTCGCTCGAGGGCTAAGTTTCTATTTGAATTTGTATATTTTCGTTTGGCAAATACTATGACCGTTTTCCATCTTAAAACATGATCCTTCTTCAATTGGAAACTCCAAATGTTTACTTATGCTTACCAAATAAAAAGGGAGTGGTTTAGGGTTTTCTTGGGTATTTTGTCCTCCCTAACTGAAATTTTTCGCAAATAACCGCAATTAACGTACAAGAGAGCTATTTAACACCATTTAGAACCATCAATTCAAGGCTAACCATATCCATCATAGGAAAACAGAAAAATCCCAAAGAAAAAATAGAAATTTAACTAACTTCACTTTAATCCAAGAAATCTTCCATAAAATCACCTTTTAAGCCAACACAAGTCACTAATAAACCATTGTTAAGAACAAAGAATGGATTGCTAGACATGATACCTTGAAATCTCAAGAAAGGTGATGGCTTAGAGTTCTTCTTCCCAAATTAGCTCCACAAACACCTTGGAATCTCCTTAGTAAACAACTTTTATGGAGTAATTTGCAATTCTATCGGTTAGAACTCAAGATTGGAGTAAGAAATTGGAGTGAAAGATGAAGATTTTTCTCTCTCTCTTGCTCTCAAAGTTTATGCCATAAGAAAGAGAAAATGGCTTGATTTTTGGTCAAATTTTGGTTTTAGTAAAGTTGAGGTAAGATGGTCAAAAGTCCAACTTGAATCACAAAGTGACACTTGTCACCTCTTTAATGCATAGCTATCCTTTTGTCTCTCCAACACCCATCCATATGGGTAATCTCTAATTATCTCTTAACACCTAGTATATTAATCCCGGTATACAAAATATAACCTAATTGGTCGAATTTATCGAACTTAACGCCACTAGCGGGTCCCACGTCCAATATACACTCTTTATTTCTCATGAACTAATTTATACTAGAAAAATGATTGGAAAACTATATTCATTTATAAAAGTCTCTGGAAAATTTTGATAATAAAATAAAGTAAGAAAAATGCACGCGGAAAAATAAATCAATAAATAAAGAAAATTTTCCTTTTCTTTTCCTTCGGGTGTCACAATACATATACAAATTCATATATATATTTTTTAACAAAGTTAAACCATCTTGTTATGGTAATAATGTAAATGTATGTGCCTCGAATTTGTCAAGTATGAAAGCACATATGAACTCAATTCTTAACTTGTATCTATTAATTATAAAAAAAAGTTAGAGGAAAGAGAAAGCCATAATGACTTATTGTTAAATTGTAGACATACAAAAAGCCAATTTAGTTTTCAAATATTTCATAGCTCAGTTAGCAAACACGTGTATTAGCATTCTCTAAAAGTAGACCCAAATTTCAATGCAATAACATATGGTAATCATTATTCTTAGCCAAATTCATGAACTGCCAAATCATTGCATTTTAATAATATCTATAATTTGTAAAAATATTTTCTCTTTACCTTCTAATCATCTAAATAGTTAAGTTAATAAAACTCTTAATAATGGTGTATACAAGACCCAAATACATTTTATAATAGGTATTTCTTTCCTAAATCAACTTATTGCTATATAACTTTCCCTCATCTCCACTTCTCATTGTGTTTTTCATCTATGTTCTTTATCTTCTCTTCTTATTAGGCTAGTTCTTACAGGACGTTGAACAACAGAAGTCTACTTATTAAGAGGTATGTTAAAAAATCATGTAAAACCCTTTTTATACCTGTTATTGATTCTTGAAAGCAAACACTAAGTTTTTTCCATCAATAAAACTGAGAATCTCAATTGGTATGTATGTTAGACAAGATAAACAAAACTTCCTGACATTAGATATCTAAAACATTTGGCGCATTTTGCACTTACTTTACTCATGGTTTTAAAATATTCATGGAGATCTCTTGGCATATGTATGGCTGCTTATATACACGAGACAAACACATCCCCACACCCACAAACATATATGTACATCCCTTTGGGCACATGCACCAGCTTATTTATTCAATTATTTTTTCTATTTTGCAATCTTTAACTAGATCTACATTCCGTAATATTTAAAAAAAAATTATATGAATTTAATATTTTGAATTCAATTGATTATCAACAAGTACAAATGTTTATTACTCTTAATATAAACTCTAACAGATATACTTCTCTTGTTGTAGTAATAATGGCAGAAAAGGAACAACAAAAAATGAAAAAATCCATTGTCTCATCAGAAGATGAAGAAGATGCAGAGAAAGATATATCCACATCAGTGACTCAAATACCTACATATGCCTCTAGCTCAAACACAAAAGGAAAGGGACTCATAACAGATGATCCTGCACAAGAAAATCCACTAAAGAGAATTAAAGTTCATAGGGATGATTTTATACTAGAGATGATTATAGAAATGTTGTTGAGAAAGATGCCTATGTTAACTACCACTGGAAGCAAGCCCAATGGCAAAGAGACAAAAGGATTTTTATACAAGTATCATGGAAATGAAGGAGCAGTTATTGTTTGTGTATGCCATGGACACCTTTTCACTCCAAAAGAGTTTGTCAAGCATGCTGGTGGTGGTGAGGTTGAAAATCCAACAAGGTTTATTGAATTTAATATTTATCCACATTAGTTGAATAAGTTAGACTATTAATTCTTGAAGAATTAAATAGAGAAATGATGGTTCTTATCCTTTGAATAGGTAGAACCCAGAAACTAGTCCAATGGCACTAAATATTATTTATTATCAATTTATGGATTTCAATTAATTATTTATTTGTACCATTCATCTAACCATGAACTATCTTTTTTTTTCTTTTTTCTTTGCAAACTTTACACATGCGAGATGGATGCTAGATCTATATTTTATTAAAAACTTTAAAATACAAAGAGAAGAACATTAATCTTACCTCTAAAAGTACACAAGGTAATTGAAAACCTGTGACGCCCCCACTTCTCCCAAGGGCGAGCCCAAAGGTATTGGCGGGACGCCTACCCAACTCTCGCCGGGACTCACTACAATCTATAATCCAAAAGCTCGAAATACTTCAAATATTTTCTCTATATAATTCAAGTACTCCAAAATATTTCATACTTACAATTAGTTAGCTTTCAAGCTTAATACAACCCAAAAGAATATGTACTACAGCCATATGCTATAATACAACTTAAAGTTTCCAAAAGGAAACAACTTAATACTATTCACGGGCACTCTCGGTTTTGAACCCTGTTAAGGAAAACAAAAACGTGGAATGAGCTACATAGTCCAGTGAGGTTCCAAGACACTCTAGCAGTTCTAATAAATCATGTAAGTTAAGCATGATACATATACGGTTCAAGATTTCACATTGGCACATTTACAATAAGACAGTTATCATGATACAGAAATAAACACATATTGAAGGATACGGTGTTCCAGTGGAACCATTTCGGTCAACTTCACCTTACAACTTCAGATCCCCTCGGTTTGTCTGGCCATCACCTTATCCCTCCAGTGGTAATACTCGAGTATACCGAAACGGTATCCCAGGGTTCCAACCTACCCGACAGAGCCCAGTCCTGGCTCAAGTAGATTAGTAACCAAGGGCAGGTCCCAGTTCAGCTTAGAGCTTACAACATGCACAAGTAATCAAGTAAATCGGTAAACGGTAAACAGTAAACGGTAATAGTTCTTGGTTAACGATAAAAATCTGTCATTTTAGTAGGTCGAGTGAGATAAAGTACACACTCGCCTTAAAACGGTGGGCAATTTCATATGAGCAATTATCAATAACACTTAATTAAACACGTAAGCAATATACGGTAATTTCATATGAACATGTAATTTACGATAATCAAGTAAGCAGGTAATCAAGTAAGTCGGTAAACGGTAAGTAATCACGGTTAACGGCAAACGGTAGTAGTTCACGGTTAATCGGTAGACATTTATCATTTTAGTAGGTTGAGTGCGATAAAGTACACACTCGCCTTAAAATGGTGGAAAAGTTCATAGGAGCAATTATCGGTAGCATTTAACAGTTAAACACATAATGACCATGGAGTAAACATGTCATAAAACAATTCAAGTCACGTACTCCTATATAGAACACTCACCAATCAAAATAAGTGAGTAAAGAAAGTCGTCAATGATCCACTTCGGGATTCTCTTCGAGACCTTCTTGATCGCCTAAAGAAAAGTGACCAATAATGACCCTCACAATTTCACAAATACCTTATCAAACAAGAAAGAATGCATACTTGCTTTAGAATTCAAGTCAATGTCTTTATAATGGTTTCATTTTATCGAAAGTTAAGATTCAAAAGTGTAGATTTTAAAGTTACTGATTAAACTCATATCCTCCATGAAATCGGGTTCAAAACGATAGATTAATAGCAAGATAAGAATTCAAGTTTCCAAAATTTCATTTTCTAAGAAATTGGCAAATTTCAGCTTTGTGCGTCAAGCCTAGAAAAATCATATCTTGCACTCAATATGTCCAAAATTAGAAAACTTTTTACTGTTGGAAACTAGTTCCAAAGTACTAAAAGTTCCTAGAAGACACTTTCCTAAGATTCCAAATGGAAGATACTCAAATTTCGGCTTAAAGTGGCTGACTTGGACTCCCAAGACAGTTTCAGCCTTAGTTTTTGGTAAACTTTGGAAATTCGGAAAAATTCACAGAAAGTGAACTAGCCTCTAAAATTCACAGAACTATTAGAGTTCCAATCAAAGTTTAAAACTCAACAAGCAGAACTAAAATTGGAGTTTCGAACATCAAGATATAGTAGCTCAAAGTTAAAAATAAGGACAGATTGAACATTTTCCAGATTTGAAAGGCTATCTTTGAAATATCGTTTGACCATCGATTTGGCATTGGAACTACACCAAACTTGGTACGCTAAATCTTCCATGTATGAACAACATTTCTACCAAGTTTCATGTAAAAACTCCCACAGAAAGGCAGTCATTAAAACAACTAAAGTTCAAGAAATATTCCAAGGCTAGACTGCCTTCTCACGTCTCCTTCCTTTTTAAAAGCTTTGTTCCACACAATCAACCTCAATTAATTCAAATATTGAAACCAATGTTCCATAAACATCCACTAAGAAATTTAGAAGTAATTGACATCAAGGTTTTCGAAATATAACTTCCCAAATCAGATTTGACCATTCGGCCAAGAGAAAAGGAAAAGTTTTCCAAATTCGAAGAGCAACTTTGGGACATCATTTGTATATCGAAATGGTCTTAGATTGACACCAAAATTGGTACAACTCAACTTCCATATGAGGATTACTCCTCTACCAAATTTCATTTGAAAATTCACAAGGGGAGGTAGTGAACCAAACTACCAAAGTTCAAGAAAATCCCAAGACCAATCTGTCTTTTGCTTTCTTCTTCCGTTTCAAACATTTTTCCCAATGAAAATGACTCAAATCTGGCTCATTTATGGAACAAAAGTCTAAAAAACATCCAATACACATTTGGTAGGTGATTGATGTCAAAATTTGCAAAACAACAAGTCCCAAGTCAAGTTAGGCCATTCGGCTAGCCAAAACTAGGGTTTTCTATCATTGGTGCAGTTCGGTAATTTGACCACAACTCACTCAATTCAACTTAAAATTGAACATGGTTGGTGGATTGAAAACTACATTCAACAGGCTACAATTCATCGGAAGCAATCATTTTAAAATTCAGTTCATAACTAGCTCAAATTTAAGTAACAAGTCTCAGCTCATCAGTGACCCTCTAGCAAAGCAATAAAACAGAACAGGTAATTTTGGTGAACTAGTACGGCTCACTCACTTCGAATCAAGGGATGCATCTTATACCGTTAGAAAACTACAGATGTCTAATTTCAAATGCCGCTAACGGCACTTGATTTCTACATCTGAGCAAAGAGTTATGATCGTTCAAAGTTTACTGCCAGAGAGCCCCTGTTATACGATTTTCCAGTTTTGTTCCTACCAAAACTCGATTTTTCCTCAACCAAATCAAGTGATTTTTGGTGGAAACTTTCCACACATCCTATATAACATATTTACATCAGATTCAAGGTCATTTGATCGCCAAAAATTTGAGTTAAAGCTTCGGTAAAAACAGGGCAGAATTGGTCATCAACCAACCGAAATTTTCCTCAACTTTCCTTGAAATTTTCCAACTAATCTCACCTTGTTTACCACTTAATTAACACAAACCACACTTATAATCACCATATCAGTCCAATATATCCATTGTAGGATTTCATAAAGCCCACTCCAATCATTTAAAATCAAACCACAACAATAACCATGAAGCTACAAGCTTCCTAGCAAAGATTAACCCATTAAAACTAAGTTTAAGTGATCGGATGATTACCTTCTATTTCTTTGAGATAAACCAGAAATTTTGCATTTCTAAAACCTCAAGAAAAATCATGAGTTGATGCTTCCTTCCTAGTCCAAGTGAATCTCCAAGTGAAGTGGAAGTTGGTTGCAAGATTTGAGATGAAATGGAGCAAGGATTGAAGCAAAAATGGAGAAGCTTTTCTTCCTCTTCTCCTTGAAGAGTTTCGGCCAGGCTATGAGTGAGGAGAGAGAGAGAAATCTGATGACTAAAGCTTCCCTTGGAAGCTTGGAAACTTGGGGCCAAAGTTTGGGAAAAAGTCAACTACTAAAAGTGTCGCGCATGCGTTTCGTGTCCATTTTCTCTCGGGTTTGTTTCACTTGTGTACTAAACCTCAATTGTACTTCCTTTAACACTATAATTGTTCACTCTTAGTAGTCTAAAATAAATTTCTAAAGTCCATCAATTAGTCGCGCGCGTGAAAACGCGAACTTCCGACTCGTGCGCGATAAAACGTAATTTCAAAGAAATTCTTGTAACGATGATATAACTAACTAATACTAGGGTAAATAATCATGAAAATAACTATTTTAGAAATAAAAACATAAGTCCCCACATGAGTCTAATATTAATTCCTCAAATCTCCAATTAATTTGTACCAGCGCGTCTTTCGGAAAACTTTCAACGCGCGCACGGTATAAGCTTAATTTTAACTTACTCACATCTAATCTCTCAATTAACTTTTCTTCATCTACTATTGATCATTCTTAATTCTCCAAGACTAATGTACTCTATGATCGAACATAGTCTCGAAAAACGTGTACTCCTTATTTCTCGCAAAACAAGCCCTAGAAAAATTAATTTTACTAACGAGACGTGTTAAAAATATAATTGAGACATTATTCCATGTAAATAAGTTTAAAATGATTGAAATAAATTATTCAGAGAAATTGGGTGAGTAAATAATTAATTAAACCAGAAAAATAAAATAAAAATAAGAAAATTCGAGTCCTCACAACACCTATAGTGGGTGACCTACTACAAAGTTCACAAAGGCTTAACATTTCTTAAATGAAGGAAAGTTAATGATGTGATCTACACTTGGACATGATCTAGACAACCAATCACCGACCAGGGTTGGCTAAGAATATATGGGGATTATATTGCAATATAATGATGTTTATCCTGGGATGCACATGAATATAGTAGATCAACATGACGAACTCATGGCATGGGTACAAAATCATTATGGTAATTATAATGCATGGTATGACCATATTCGTAAGACTATTTGCATAAATAGTGATATCCAGTTGTTTGATCAATATAGT